CTTTTGCAAATTATATCACAATTTTCAGTTTGTTGCAAATCCACGAATTCGCAAAAACCTCTCGAAGACCATCCTCTTCCAATGCATTTAATGTGGACATGACTATGTCCATCGTACTATCGAAAGACGATCATTAGATTTGAGACCCGCACTACAAACAAGGGCGAGGCCCAATAAAGACCAGTGTGGACCAAGACCCAAACTGAATAAAAAAAACACCTAGTATAAGTATATTACACTTACTACTACGAAAATAATAGTCCATAATATGAGTCCAATTAACTACTAAACTTAATATAAAAATTTAACATCTATCATTATATAAAAAATAATAATCTTTTTATAATTTCCCACCAAAGTTTACCTCCAAAATCATTTAATAAATAAATGCGGCGCTGATTTTTCTGATGATTCCTTTTTTTCTATTTTATAGGTTAACAAAATAACAGATTGTGTTGATATTATATAAAAATCTATCATTACAAAATCATATTAAAAAATAATTGATAGCTTATAAAATCTCATAGCATAAATCTACACTAGTTTATTTGTTATTTGTTACAAAATCTCATTGCATACATCTCACGAGTATAAAAAATCTCATCATTTATCTATCAGATTTAAATAAAATAAAATAAAATAGAAACCAATTCATAATGACTATTAGATATCAATTATCTTTAAAAAGAAAAAATAAATAAAATAGAAATCAATTCATAATTACTATTAAAAATCCATTATCTACTCTAAAAAGCTAATTTTCATCGTTCTAATTACTAATACTTTTACAAATATTATAAGCTAACAATACATCCTCGATAACAACGTAAAAAGTATAATAATAATTTTGAAATTTTGTGTAATCCAATATTTTTAGATAGAAGTAGTGCCATAAATTCGGTATCATCTGACCTAATGTGTTTATTAAATTAGGCTTATAATATTTTAGATACTTTGAACAAATTGTTGATTCATTTTTTTTTTACATATTTGTCTATATACATACATATATATACATATACACATATATATAATTGATATTAAATTTAAATATTTGCAGACATGTTTTCTTTACAAAATAATCTAAAAAAACCTTTTTTAAATACTCCTCATGTTTTACACTGTAAATACTCCTAATTTATTGTAATTTGTAATAGAGGCAGAATCAACTATTCTCTTTTTAAAAATAACTCCTGAGTTGTACTAAGATCATAGTTGTTTATTATTTAAAATCAAGGTCACCCGACCTCATTCAATATTTATAACATTTTTACTTAGGGAATTTTAAACCGTTGATTCATATTTCGTACATCAACAAGCCTTTCCCAACAACGACAACATTTTGTTGTAGTTCCTTCTATGGAGTCGAATCGAAATATTCGATCTCGAGTTGTATTGCAAGAAAGACTAGTCGGATTGTTTCACATGTTATTCAAATACGTAAAAGAAAAATTAATTCCTAAACACTCCAATTCAAAAGGTTTAGGTTTCAATTATCATCTAATAATTCCACGTAATGAGAATTCTCGATTCTCAATATCAAATCCAATTATAAACACAAGAATTGGAACAACCATCACTTATCCCTATCAAATGCATGTAGCTACTCACATCGAAATCAACACAATAAATCATATAATTGGATAAAAAGGTGATCAAACATCTAACCCTAGGTATAAAACAACTCGCATTTAATGAACGATTCACAATAGCACGATAAACACAATAATTGGAACAACCATCACTTATCCCTATCGAATGCATTTAGCTACTCACATCGAAATCAACACAATAAATCATATCAATTAAATAAATCACATCTTTAGAAAAAATGAAAAAAAAAAGCCTACAATTAATATGAAGTCGAGTGCCAATCCACGATTACAAGCCAACAAAATCCACAAGCGATCATTGGAGTATCATTTTTTTAGTTAAAAATCAAAGCAAAACAATGTTTAGAAGTGAAGAAAACTCAAAACTACAGAGTCTGGAATCAATCTTTAGGGTTGGAGACGAGTCCCAATAAATAAGGCTCGAAAAATAGTTCAAAATTTTGAATTTCAAAACGTTGATCACGACCTCCGCATGTTGCGGTGAATCAGGTCTCCGCGGCCGCGTGTTTGACACGCAAATTGGCTTTGTTACTTCAACGAGCCTCGCGGGTCACGACGGACAAAACGGCTGCGACCGTGAGGTGCTTCGGGATGCGAGTCTGGCAGCATGGGTAGGTCTCTGTCAGTTCTGCGGGTTTCGGTGAACAAAATCTTCCTCACAAGTCGTGGAGTTCTAGGGCCACGACAAGGCCAAAAAATTCTCGTGAGGATAGTTCGGGAAATGTGGATAGGCTCAGAACGATCATAGCTCGACCAAAACCACCAGATCACCTTCAACCAAAAATAAAGAAAAAACACATTAAGAAAAGGCAAAACAAACGAAGCACAAATTGAAAATCTACAATAACTAGCAACACGGACCAGAAAATCTAAGCATGTTTGTTTATAATAAAATTCAAAAAATTCCCAACACTTTAACTCAACCACTTTTTTTTTTNNNTTTTTTTTTTTAACTCAACTTTAACTCAACACAACTATCATCAGTTATTATCAATATAATTAAACAATATCAATCAATCATTCGTACACAACACATCAACCTTAATTCACTATTCATCTACTCACATAATTTTAACTAACCATCACATCACTTATTCTCTCTCCTACTTTTATATCAATTTAATTTTAATTATTTTATTTTAATTATTATTTTAATAAATCCACTAACAACTAATCATACCACATTTTAAAATTAACCAAATCAAACCAAAAAATCTAAACAAACCCAAAAAGTTTCATAAACAAACATGCTCTAAAAAATCCTATAAACAAAGAAAATGACTAGCAAATAAACAAAGAAAATTAAAAAA